TCAATAACAGCGAACGGATGGTTAAAGTAAGGTACAAATAAACAGAATCACACGAAGCCTGGTTAGTGTTGCCTGACTTTATAAAGTGTGTGTTTTCTTTTACAAGTGTGTGTGGTTGCGTTCTAGTCACTTTTCTCAGAGCTACTGCTTGTTACAACTTGTATTTGCCGTACTCACCTTTAACTGTTAGCTCAGGTTAATCTCGCCCCCCTCCGACGTAAGCGTGACGTATGCGGTTCTTGCTTCTAGACTTCTAGATTTTTTTGGCGCTTGAAACAAACTGGATTCCGGAACTTAGAGGTGGCTCCGCTGCGGTGTGAACAGGAAAAACCGGTGCTTTTCAGGCTCTTAGCTCCGAACCGGCCCTGGAATATTGGAATATTAACACCACTTTTATACTAGTTGTACGTAAAAGCTTGAGACCCTTACCAGTGGGGTATTTACTCATGTATTTTTTGTCGTAAAACAAAACAGGAACATCTCTTTAGCTTTTATTAACCACAGATTTTATTTTAACAATCTAACAAAAAAATCATTAAAAAAAACTAATTGACTTTAAGACGAGGGAGCCTAGGAGTGCTAAAAAACTCATTACAGAGTTTGACTCATTCCTGCACCATTCTATTCTGTGGTCAAAACAGGCTCTTCTTACTGGGACACTTTAATGTAGCAGAGCCATTGTCCATGTCATAAATGATACCGGACAAAACCCGATAGCCCTATTTGTCATGTCTTTTCTTCTGAGAGATTATCCTGTTGAGGGTTTCTTTTATTGTGCCTCAAATGTGTATATGATTGGATTCTTCTAAGAGGGAGTCAGCTCTGAATCACATCCAGCTGATGCTGCTCCGTTCTCTATTGATTAATTATTTCCAGCGGGTAGCAGTCGTGGCAGTTATTGGCTCATTACAGATGGTAAGGAGCTGGCACGTGCACGCTGACAAGTAGCAAGACATTGCAGTGTCGAGATGCCAAAGATATGTTAGTGGTAATTTTACTGATAGGCCTTTTCCACAGCAGACATTTTGACTTATTATATTAGGAAAAGTATATGTCTGGTCACTAAAAAGTCCTAAAAGATAGAGACATTTGTTATAAGGTAAATGGAATTGAAATGTTTTTAATCAATCTTTAAAAAGGCTTGAAAATGCTAAGACTCAAATTGTGCATACAAAAGGTCTTACATTTTATTCTTAATGGCATTATAAAAGTATTAAAAAGTCATACATGTAATTGCTTTAAGCTGTTCTTGCCCTGAACCTAAACAATCCTTTCTATTTAAGTATCCCAGTGAGCCAGCATGCACAATACCAGGAACCTTAAAGGTGGGGTAGGTAAGTTTGAGAAACCGGCTCGAGATACACTTTTTGTTATATTCCATGGAATGCTCTTAACATCCCGATAGCAATGAATATTTTAAGTGCTTTGACAAAAAATCCATAAAAAAAATGTCATCTGTGGAAGCCGTAGTACTGTAAAAAGCACGACCAATCATTTTAGCCGGCCCGGCTAAAATAACTGGATGGCCTACCTGCCTGTCAGCCTTCCATCTGTGCACAAACTTATCTCGTGCCCTCATTGGTCATGTGCGCGTTCGTGTGTGTTGGAGGAGGGGCTCTGTAAGGAAGTGGCAGATTTTTTTCCGGCTGTGTATTTTCAAATTCTAGCGATCTCTAGCCGGTTTCTCAAACTTACCTACCCCACCTTTAAGCTAAAAACTAGCCGCTATAAGGAATCCAGCTATCACTGCTATTCCAACTGTAACATGTCAGAATGCCTTCTGAGAAAATGCTCATTGGGATTTAGCTCCTACTGCCACTACCTTGTGAAGTTTGAACCCACAGAGAGCACTGCATCTGCATCTCATTACATCAGTAATTTATGTGTCTTCCTGGTATTAGCCACTGAAGATTTTCCATTCAGTATCTACCGGCAGTTCCTCTTTGATTCTGTAGTTGACAGTCGGACAATGAACATAAATCTGTATGTGGACAGTAGTAAAATGGGCAGGTCCAGGATTGATGTAGAAGAAACTTTAGTGGTTGTAACTAATTTCCCCTCGATGCATTGACACATCTATAACATTTCAATAAAAATGTGTTTTTTTTATTCATTAAATCTGGTAACAATAAAGCAATTTTTTTCTTCCTCCTGAAAGCATTTAGCAGCCATATGTGTCCTCAGCTAAATCAAGTCCTTAAAATAAAATACGATGTTTCTTGTTTATTATGGTACAGAAGTGGTGTACACTAATAATTACATGTCAATAGGTTCTTGTTTTGAGCCAATCTTGTATGGGATGTTTTTTCATTAGTGTTGAATCCTCCCCACAGTAGCCGGCTTTGCCTTTTTGTTTTCATTGACGTCAGAAGTGTCGACCTTTCGGAGAGGGATCATTATTTTCCATCTCATCCTTGTGTACAGTGGCGAGCGCAAAGCTGTTTTTATCCCTCTCACGACTGAAAGGGACGCAGCGCACCTCTGCCACCCACTGCCATTATACAGAGGAGAGGTTAATGCAGGGCGGACACTATATGAATGGCTTTTTACGAGGCGGATGCATTCAGCTTTCGCATTGCTGGATACCACTGAGGGCTGTTTCCCTGTAAACAACGGCAACACATTGACCCCATTGTCCCTCACCCTTATGTGTGTAGCCGTTTTTCACTGAGAGCAGGCGTTGGTGCCAGACTATTAAAGTTACCAAAACATGCCGTCTATTTAAAAATGTATTCTAGACTTCTGTGAAAGGCGCAGATGTCAAACTAAACGATATATTTGACCATCACACATTGTGTTATGGTTGCATCTATTTGTTGGGTTTTTAGTAGCGATGTCAATCAAAAACAATAACCGTGATGAATCACAAAAGTTAAATAATAGTATAAACTTGTTTTTCGGGGAAAGATTAAACAAATACACAAGTGGTTTTGTAATCAAGAAATGCATGACAAACTGCTAGGAGAAATAAGAGATTTCTTTACTAAATTATAACATCTAAGCTTAGTTTTAAGACGTTATTGGCATTCATTTCACCTAATAAGTAGGAACCAGAAAAAGTTACAAGGTAGCATCTGCTACAAGCTGAATGTAAACAGCTGGACTGTTAAGGCACCTTTCTCCAAAATTACAACCCATGGCGATCCATTTAGCGATTGCAGTGGTTAACTTGGCTATTGTCTCGTTGGCCGCTTGTTCACACCAGGGACCAGCTGGTTGCGATGAAGCTAGCTATCACGACAATTTGATCAGAACCACGGCTATCCCCACAAAGATCTGGAGACAGAGGGGAGGTGGGTCCAGTGGTACTGCAAACTAGTCGTGCCTAGGTGGAAACGACAGCTTATGACTACAATATGTGCACAAATTAATGTTATTTAAAGTTCCATCTGGAAGCTTTTTAAAACAGTATTTTCTGTTCTACACACCGGGGAATATCTCGTTGTAATTACAAAAGTGAAAATCCCCACTGGAATTACGAGAGTACATTTGGGGTCAAACTTGATAGTATGATTACGTTTCCAGATTGATTGTTAATGTTAACAGCCTTAGTTTTTGTCATTAATCCATTTGCTGTCGTCTGCTTTAATGACTCACAGACGTGCACACACATACATGTTACGTACTATCACTTTCACTCAAAGCTGGCTGGATATTTGAGGTTTTCTTCAGTCTGAGTGGCAAGGCCCAACATTTAGTTCGCTTAATTGTTCATTCCTCGAAGTGTTCGTGGTGCTGCGGTTGTTAATTGAACTGCGAGCACTCAGCAGGGCACATGAGGGCAGAAGGAGTCATCCCAGCAACACAGAAAAAAGACTGCTTTGGCAAATAAACAAAGATAGATGACTTCAAAATAACACTCTGTACCCAAAGTTAGAGTCCCACTCCTGTGGCTCTTTTTCAGATTATAGGGTGGAGAATGGCATTTTTATCTGACTTTTTTCCCAGTTTTTACTCCATGGTGTAGAGCTGAGGAGTCATCAGCTTGTCACTTCATTTATTTTAGGCCCGCATGGCATGTTAAGAGAGCGTTCTGCAATCTCAAGTGTGCGCCGCGCGCCTTCCTCTCTTATCAAGAAAACCCTTTATTCCTTAAGCCCTAAAAAACAACTGACACCCACTCACATCTGTCCTGAGTGGGAAAGGTTACTATCAGCATTCTTTACCAGGATAACTGAGAAGACACGCTTTACTTTCACCCCTTTTCTGTTGTCATACACATTGAACAGGATATAGAAGAGGATGTATAACAAAAGATTCAACAGGGATTTTGGACAAGTATTATATTAAAAGAAAAATACAAAACATATGATGCTTTCCTTAGAGCAGCCAGACTCGATTGGAAGAAACTGTAATATTATTGGCTGGTCATCGCCAAAACACTTCACTCAAATTAGATAGAAACACAATAGACTCATTGAAACATCTTTGTTAGAATTCCAAATGTTCCAACAGTTATCAACTCTGGTTTGAGAGTTTGAAAAAGAGATTTAGGGGGCCCTATTATGCTCTTTGGGGTTTCCCCTTTCCTGTAGTGTGTTTATATAGGTCTTAGTGCATGTTAATGTTCTGCAAAGGCTAAAATCGAGACTGAGTGTGTGTAACACTCTCGCTTGTATTGGCTAGCGCTCCAACACATGTGATAGGCTAAGTGGCGGGACATTTTTGATACATCTCTAAGCGGTTGACCAATCACAACAGAGCCAGACTGGGCTCTAGTTTAAGACGGGGGGTGAAAAGAGTTGCTGCGGCACAGGCAGTACTCATTTTATTCAAATAATAAAAAAATACCAATTTATTGTAAAAAGAGTATTTGGCACACTTCACAATTGTGGTAGGTAGTTGTATCCTGTGTTATGGCTGCCACACATTTCAACTCTGTGTGAACTTGTCTCTCGAATATTTCAGTTGGCTTCCTCACCCTGTTGCCAGAGGCTGCCTTCCTCTACCAGCACTTCACCTTCTGACTATTTTCCTCCTCTTTGCTGCCGTCTCCCCAGGTAAGGACCGAGTCTTCAACACTCCCCTCTGTGAGCAGGGGATTGTGGGATTTGGTATTGGCGCTGCTGTTGCTGGTGCCACAGCCATCGCTGAGATCCAGTTCGCCGACTACATCTATCCTGCTTTTGACCAGGTAAGAAGGGCCGCAAACTAATGATTACTGTCCTTGTGAATTAATCTGCCAATTCATATCAATCGATCTATTGTCTAATAGTCCAAAATCATTCATGTCACTGCCATGTATGAGTACTAATCAAATTCTCAGGAAACTGCACTTGGAGGTCAACCCCCTTACATTTTTTTTAAATCCTTTAACAAAATCCTAAATTGAATAAAGTCATGGATCAAATGAATTTCTTTTAACCTGTTAAGCCCGAGAGACCCCGGTACCGGGGCACTGCCGCAACATCTTGCAGGAAACAGTGTCTGAGGGCATGTTCATTTAATAAAACTATGAATGTTGTATATCCATGTAACGGGAAGAAACTCATCTAACTGATCATTTTAATTTTTTTTTCAAAAGAAAACCCACAATGCTAACACTGAGCCTCTGAATTAGCAACGAGCGAAAAATGCTAACACCTTACTGCACCGAAAATCCCTCACAAAACCTTATTATTTATCTTTTCACCACATCCAACGCATCGTTTCACATCGTGAGGTGACACCGAATCGATTGACACCGACATTACCACTGAATTATACGTATTTGCGACGTTAGAAGCAAAAACGGACATCAAAACAGGTGACGCTAGGTAGCTAAAAATGCTAACATTTTTACCTTGGCTCTGTAGTCTCTCCAAAGTGGTCTTCAATGGCATTAAAATGATAAAAACGCTGCTGAAGTTAATCCATAGGTTAATCCAATGTGTCTGTGTCCCTTTGAAATGATTTCTGATAATCCATAAGCATTAAAACTGCTTTTCCGTTTCCAGATGTCAAAGCTAGAGATAGGTCCACTCTGATGGAAAATTACATGCGCAAAGCCCCCACCTTTTCTCTTCACAACGTGTGTGTGTGTGGGGGACTCCCCCTTCAATTCTATTGGCTGTAACGGTCAGAAAGAGGTGTCAACCATCAAAATTGAGCAAGGGGGGCCAGATATATGGAAAATCCACCCAAATGACCCCAGAAGTGGTTTATTTTTGCTAAATCTCTCTGAAAAGGTCAAATGTCACTTGTTTTGCATCAATCTTGATACAGGGTACTTATTATATGTTGTACTTTGGATTCCTAAAGCTTTTAGTCTACCTTACCATCATCCAAGGGTGGTTTTCACTATAAGTAAAAAAGAATTTTTGGACGGACACTATAATTTACATTTTTTTACTATGTTCAATCTGAATTTTCTTTAAAATAAAAAACATCTATATTGCTTCTGACTTTTCTACATCCAACTCACAGGTTTATCATTACTTTGAGAAAAAAGATTATTAATTTAACCCTTTTAGAAGGGAAGATATAGTCATTTGTTCTGGGAATGTCATTTTCGAGCCTGAGACCTGAAAAACAGGCTCAGGGCTTAACAGGTTAATAAAATCAACTTAAAACATTAAAAAATATATATAAGTTTTGCTCTATTGCTGCTAGACTGCCCTCTTAAAACAGGTGTGTATATCATTTATTCTACAAAAGAGTATAATAGTAATAATATCAGTGTAGCCTAATCTTTAACAACAACTGTGATGAAATACTGGCTTTAATCCCCCAAAAAAGGGGCACACCATAAATTGATTTATAATTTGAATGTCAGCTTTATGAGTGAGGCTCTGTTGAAGCTCTACAGGTTTTTTCTTTGATTGATTTAACCTGTTACGCACCGCCCCCCCGGTACCGGGCGGATAAACGCGTCATTTGCAGGAAACAACGTCTAAGGAATCTTAATATTTAATAAACTATGAATGTTTTATATCCATGTAACGAGAAGAAACTCAGCTAACTGATCTTTTTAATTTTTTTTTTCAAAAAAAACCCCACAATGCTAGCACTCAGCCTCTGAATTAGCCACGCGCGAAGTAAGTTTTCACTAAGTAAAAAATAATTTTTGGACGGACACTATAATTTACAGTTTTTTACTATGTAAAATCAGAATTTTCTTTAAAATAAAAAACATCTATATTGATTCTGACACTTCTACATCCAACTCACAGATGTAACCTTGCTTTGATAAAAGACATTATTCATATAACCCTTTTAGAAGTTAAGTTGTAGTCATTTGTTTTGGGCATGTCATTTTCGAGCCTGAAACATGAAAAACAGGCTTGGTGCTTAACAGGTTAAATGTATTAACTCGGATAGAGAGCCGAAGTCCCTCCCTTTCCGGTGATCCACCTTGGGACCTTATTTAGAAAAAACTATGTATTGAAGTCAATGGCGAGAGAGAAATTATCTTTAGATCCCGTTTGAATTGTGCCATGAATTACACATTATGATGTTTGTCAATCTTACAAAATAAGTCAAAAGTCACAGTTTGTCGTAAAACTGTGAAGTAACACTTATTTGTGTGTGAAACCGCTCAATGAACTACATCTCTGGTCTCGCACAATACACGTCACCAACACCAGAATGAGCTGAAAAGTATTAAACGAGGTGAAAATCATTACACGTCTGGGCATGTTGAGAGCTGCTATTACACAAAAGGGGAGTTGGTCGGTTCCGTTAGAGCCAGCATGCGGGACCGGCTGTACAAGGTTTCTGTGAGTGTTAAATGAGTGTAATGTGTAACGTTAATGTCAGCTAGCTAACATTAGCTAACAAGGTACACTCCTGTGTTTTGTTTTAGCAACTAGTTTTCTTTGTACCTTGTCCTTGCCAACACTAATGTCATCCACAGCATACACAGCGATCACGCAGTTCTTAACGAGAAAACTAGTTGCTAAAACAAAACACGGGAGTGTACCTTGTTAGCTAATGTTGGCTAGAGATTAAAGTTACACATTACACTCACCGAAACCTTGTACAGCCGGTCCCGCATGCTGGCTCTTACGGAACCGACTAACTCCCTTTTTGTGTAATAGCAGCTCTCAACATGCCCAGACGTGTAATGATTTCCACCTCATTTAATACTTTTCAGCTCATTCTGGTGTTGGTGACGTGTATTGTGTGAGACCAGAGATGTAGTTCATTGAGCGGTTTCACACACAAATAAGTGTTACTTCACAGTTTTACGACAAACTGTGACTTCTTTTGACTTGGAAATTATTTTTTAAGATTGACAAACATCATAATGTGTAATTCATGGCACAATTCAAACGGGATCGAAAGATAATTTCTCTCTCGCCATTGACTTCAATACATATTTTTTACGAAATAAGGTCCCATGGTGGATCACCGGAAAGGGAGGGACTTCGGCTCTCTATAGACATCATGGCAGACCTATCAAGGCAAGACAAGTGCTTTTGCTTGTTAATGTTGATGTGTTCCAGTGGATCACAGTTGTTTGGTTAAAGGGACGAGTTAGAATGAGGGGGAAGTACGCTGGCGTCACTCCTGAAACCTGCCTTTTGCATCAAAACCCTTCTTCTCCAAGTCACACTCAGGAGAAACAGGAGGTACAGACATCATACAGTTACTGGTGGAATCAACACACTCCTTCCAGTGATGGCTGTTTTTATGAAAGCTCGGGGAAGACTTTTAATATAAAGGAGCTTCTTTTGAATATACTTCACAATCATTAAATATAAAGCTTTTCTTCTCCCTGGATGTTGCACTGACTCCATTTGATATATACGTATATATTATATATATTAAGTGTCGCACACTTCATAATAGCATATCTGTTGATCAGCTAAATGGATCAATACTGCTGATATGAATTTGTTTTCTTGTTTTGTTCTGATATAGCAGCTACTATAAGGCTCAGAAATTAACTTGATTATTCATTGTTCTGAAATGTTACCTGCCAAATTCTTAATGCTGTCATTTTGTTTGTTAGAGATTACAGAGGTTATACAACGTAGATAATGGAGATTATTTGCATGAATCATTTATAAAATGATTAGGAAATAAATGATTGTAATTTTATTTACTGACATTTAATAGCTGTCTTCCTGACTATTTCAACACAGTTATCCTCATTGTAGCATTATCAGGGAGGGAACGTCTGTCCTCTACATTCGTCAAATGTGAATAGAAAATCACAAAAAGTCAATCTTATTGGTTTCTTATGTAGTAAGGCCAATCTCCTTAGAGTTTATTTTGACTGAATATTGGGCGCTCAATTACTTGTGGCATTCCTGCTAAGTGCCCTACGATTCCTTTAAATATCAATGTATAGATAGAAAATAGACACACTGTATCACATCTTTCCATAGGGTTTTATTTATTTCGTTACAAAAAGGTTTGGCAGCTCTTTCCTTAAAACAGAAGCTTCAGATTGCTTATATTAAGGGGGAATAGGAAGGGGATATTTCAAACTTGTTATGCAGCAAAGTTATTATGCTTTTTTTATAAACTAATATTTGTTATAAAATGTTTTCAACTTTAATTGGCTGAATTTATTTGAAAATTGGGCTTATTAACACATGGTTACTACTCTGCTATATATTTTTACATACATATGTATAAAGTTTCATGTGTGGGCCATATTCCATTATACTTTTAGAATTTGCTGCGGGCAAAACTTTTTTTAACCACGGGCCGTAGTAGTAGTTTGGACACACCTGCCCTAAGCATATCCAGTTTATTTGCATACTAGTATTTTGGCCTCCTAACAAAGTGGTTTGAATCCAGTAACGTTGGAAACACTTTCAAAGGAAAAAGAGGATGGAAATGATAGTTTGCTAGCCTGACAGACACTAATGTTACTGATTTTATTTATTCTTCAGACTTGTCTTCTGTCTGGTCTGTTTAACATATTCCTCGTTGAAACAGGTGCTTGATAAACAGACCTCCAATTGTTTATAGTCTCATATTCTACAATCTAACGCTGTTTAACAGAAGAAGGGCTTCTTATGACTTCCTAGTATTTCAGAAAAAGATTATATGTGGCATTGAAAGGCAGTGCATGACAGTTGGTGGTATTAAGTGTTCTCGCCTGCCACAAGATGAATGCTAGTCCCTTCTTTCTCAAGGCAATATAAAACAGAGTGACGCGGAGTCTCTTTCTCTCTCTTCTGCACTTTCACTTAAAATGACTGCAGTCTAAACTGACCTGAGAGATACATAAAAGCTGAACTGACAGCCCACTTGGGTATCAGGGAGGAAAACTTAGGTCTACCTTTTAGGAGGAAGCCTTGTTCAAGAAACTGTAGAAGTAGGAAGAAGGAACCTGGCACTTATGATTTCTCTCGTTAAAAATAAAATAATGTTTTTAAAAGCATTAAGGGGAATAGCAGACAGATGAAGCCTCAATCCAACTTCCAATCATTTGGTTTTATTTATTCATATCCTTTTTAAAAAGCATTTTGCCCATGTCTTAAACACGTTGTCTTTAGAGTCTGAACTTAGCTTCTTCTACTTTTGCAAGTACCCCGGTGTCCCAAAGGATCATACAATTTCATCGTCAGGTGTCAACTAATAATGTGTTGTTGTTTTAAACCTCAATTATGTTGGTCTCTTTCCAGATAGTCAACGAAGCAGCCAAGTACCGCTACCGTTCTGGAAACCTGTTCGACTGCGGCAGCCTCACCATCCGGGCCCCGTGGGGGTGTGTCGGCCACGGCTCGCTGTACCACTCCCAGAGCCCCGAGGCCTTCTTCGCCCACTGCCCCGGCATCAAGGTCAGCCATGTGGTTCATGACAGATTCTGACATGTATTTATTTCCTTCTTTATATTTCTTTGTATAATCAATTTGACAATGACGTGTCTCTTCCCAGAAAACATTATGCTTTTTGGGGTTTTCCTTTCCTGTAAGGTGTCATAGGTTTTTGTGCATGTAAATGGTCTGCAAAAGCTAAAATCCCAAAGTTCCTTCCAGAGGGAGTTTCTCTCCCACACACTTCCCCCCCCCCCCTCCAGAAACGCCTCCATTGGACTCCTTTGTTTACTTCCGTAACATAGTGACATCACTTGCGCTTCTATTGGCTAGCACTCCAACACATTGTATGTGAGTGGCGGTACATTTCTGACACATCTCTAAGCAATTGACCAATCACAACTCAACCTGCCAGCTAACCAATCAGAGCAGACTGAGCTCTGGTTTCAGACAGAGGGTGGAAAGAGGTGCTGGCAGTATGAGAAAAATAAAGATGTTTTTGAACATTAAAGCATGGAAACATGTCACAGTAGAGACACAAAATACAAATATGAACCTGAAAATAAGCATAATGCTCAGTGCCCGCAACACACCTGCATTCTTCAGGCTTTTAAAAAAGGCAGGAGGGAGCCTGCTACTTTGAGTTTCTATATGTGAATATAGCCTGAAGGGGAAAATAATGATTTCACCCACAGAGATCCTAACTTCCCATAGAGTTATGGCGCACGATACAGTATTCTCCCAACACTGATGGCATCACTGAGATGGCCTTCAGAGCATGTGCACAAAGCAAACGAGTTAAATGTCAGGACATGAGATCCCTTACTGATTTTTATTTATTGCTAAGCATACATATAATCATTATCAAAGTCTCTAATACGCCACAAAGGGTGAATGACTATATGGTTTACAGCTACTGTTCATCCTCTGTGAGTAACCATCACAAAGAGCAATAAACCGGTTGTCTCCCAGCAAAGGTCAGGCTGATAACTGTTGATCTGTGTGCATACTATCATCACTGCTGGCTCCATCTGAGAGTCAGTCCCACCACTCTGTCTGACAGGCTGGATTCAGCTCGGCCCAGTGCCCTGATACCCCAATTCTGTCCTAAATACCATTACTAGATTTAATATCCGACAAAGTCACAATGCCAAAAAGATAAAGGAGGATATGAAGAGTTTATAATCCTTACTCTGTCAGTCTTAGTCCATACTGTATGTTAAACAGTTCTGTATCAAGTCATAATGCTATGTGATCACACCAGATTTAAATGCTTGATTTCTGAGAATTGACCAATCGGGGCTATTCTCAGGAATCTATTGTTGATTCCATAGATATCTGCATAATCATACTCTCTAAACTCACTGGCATTTAGGATGTTTATCATGGATGAGAGATGCAAACAGACAGATACAATATTTATTTTCTCCATTTCTGATGTATTTGCAACGCCGGGTCTGATTGGCATTTATTTATCTCTTTGCATTGACATTGTATGTCATCATGTCACATGAACAGTTAGCTTTGCATATATTGCGAACACGCTATTACTCACAATTAAGATTAAGACTTGTATTCATTCCTAAGGGGGAATTCACTTCTCTGGTGTTATTTTGCCATTACAAACAAAGTCCCAGATATGCACACATCTATAGACATGCACTAATAGAGAGGTGGTAGAGCGATTGGGCTGCCAGTGTTGCGGCCATGAAAGCCGATGGGGGTTCGGTGTCTTGCTGAAGGACACCTCGGCAGTTCCCAGAAGGCAATCTGGCATTTTCCAGCTACCAGCCCACACTCGGGTCAAGTCCCTAAAGACTGAGCTGCTGCTGCCGCCCCTCTTCAAGTTGTCTGGATTCAAGTCGATCGCATTTGGCCCATTCAAACTGTTACTTTCTATCTTTGGAAGCATTCTACATTACACTCTATGAAATGACATGGGAACCTATGTTATGAGATTGTCTTAACATCACTACTGCGTCTAATAAAGCTTTTCATGTGCTCCTCAGGTTGTAATCCCTCGCAGCCCAGTGCAGGCCAAGGGGCTGCTCCTCTCCTGCATCGCGGACCAGAACCCCTGCATATTCTTTGAGCCCAAGATCCTGTACAGAGCAGCAGGTAAGCAGCACTGCATGAGAATATAAATCTGACGTCGACATGCCGCCGGGCACTGATTGATAGCAAATGCTCTCTCTTATAGAGGTGTGAGGCAAGATAAGCAAACATCAGTGTGAAGCAGAGCGTCTAAATGGGCTGTGAAGTATTGACAGTGCCCAGATGAGTCCTCTCTCCCATCCAATCCCTATGTGGAGGGAACATCAATGCGAACGCCAGCTTGGCTTTTGGCAGGCTGCCGTGCTAAAAGGTGTCCAGCAAAGTCGTAATGAACTCTTAGCAGATGTTGGCAGCTGCTGCAAAACATTGATATTCACGATTAAGACAGCCTTATATGCTTAGAGGTGCTTTGAGCTCATTATAGTGATGGAAGGCAGAACCAGAACAGATTGGTACCACCAGCCTCAAAGCCAAACCTTTTTGACAAGGTTTGTTAGTTTGATAAGAGCCATATGAGATTGGGAAATATTACACTCGACTGCTGAGATTGCTTTAATTATGTCATCAGTTTAGCTATCATGGTCCAAAACATTTCTTAAGATGTTACAGTACAGTCTTATGTTAAAACCATTCCCTGGCACAAAAGGATTGACTCCAATCTTCATAACTCCCTCATAGTTTCCTGATTACTTTAAGATTACCCTCAAAGCAAAATCCTTTCCCTTGTCATATATTTGGTTTTATGGTAGAAGCTTTCTGTTGTACCTGCAAAAGCTAACTGCTAACGTGCCAGTGAGTCATTACGTATGAGTCCTATTCACAATAGCTTCTCGAGTTTCTTTCTGTGCTGTTAACTACCCCTGGCATTTTGTTGTCAGGCTTGTACATCATTCAATGAATAGTTTGAGTGAAGAGGAGGGAAAAAACTCTTAATTTATAAGCCTGTGAACTTTTTGATAGAAAATATGTAAATGGTTGCTAATAGCACATAAGTTCACATAGTTACTATACTATGACGTTTTTCTCAAACCTGTCATCAAACTGTCACCTTTATATAAATACATGTAAACAACAGAGAAGATGATTAAAACTGTATGGAAAATAGAGATGGGATGACATAAAAATGTGTTTTTTTAATAAGCTGGATAATCATGAATATCCCAACATTAGTTATCACTTTAGAACTTTATTCATGTGGCTACCTTATGATGTATGCCAGGGGTCGGCAAACTTTTTGATATGAAGCCATTTAAAAAAAAAAAAAAAAAAATAATAATTCTGATTAGTTCCGACGTTCGTGAATTGTCAACGGGGGGGGGGGGGGGGGGGGGAGCTCGACGCTTGTTAACTGTCAACGGGAGGGGGGGGGCGCTCGTGAACTGTCAACTGGAGGGCGGGGGGAGCCTCGCTGCGGGGAAGCTGTGGACCTCTGTCGTCTGTCAGCGCAACTTACATGATGCAGTTTAAACACAGTTAAATAAATAAAGGGCGGTGCCGGCCGTCAGCGAACCGAGCCCGGTCGTCAACGGCCCGCTGGCGACCGGCTCGTTTTGCTGACGGCCGGACGTACTGTGATTCTCCAGAACACACAGTTGGCCAGTCCGCCCCTGTGTAGCATATTATTTTCGATGACAGATGAGCAGATCGCCACTGGGTTTTCAACTAAAGACACAGCGGCATGTACAGCTCCTTATGGGTAATGTTATGTGTGAAGTGCGCTACACCCCTGATCATTTCACCATGGAGGAAAGCAGCAGAAAGTCGACTGGAGTTAAAGAGAGCGGGGCCTAGAAGTTATCCTTCTGCGCTGCGTTGCGTGCATGGCTTCCTTCTGCAGGGGGAGACGCGCTCTGCCGGCGGTCTCGTTCAGGATCCGAAAATACAATTTAAATATTTTGCACACTTATTCCTAGTGTGTTACTGGTTAACTTAAAGGGATACTTACTAAAACAGGTGTGTGACCTATCAACGATGCAACAAAAGTATTTATTTCTAAAAATATGTAATGTTTTCATGTCAAACAATAAATTGGAATCCAACAGGGGTGTGCTGTGGAATGTCAGCATTTAAAAGATCTGTGTGAATCTATAGAATATTCACTGGGAGTAAATAGTAATGGATAACTTCTTGCCTTTTTCAACTGTTATGAAACAGAAAAGTGTTGCCATAAAATATATCAGAAAGCATAAGGGCAGATACTAGATGCTGGTGTATTTGTGTTTTTTTTAATACTGATCAGCTATGGAGGCTTCAACCATCCATCAAAGCCTTGTTAGAGTCAGTGGCTGTGAAATAAATGAAATGGGATTGGTCTTACTATGATCATGTGCGTTGGAACATGTTTAGCACTGTGTCCGAGCAAGTCACTGAGTATGATAATAATAAGAGAAAAATGTCTCAGATTAATGTGGTTCAAAAGGACAGCCAAGTGCTGGTGTCTGAGTTCTCGGCAGAGTTTGTGTTTGCACATCAATCTTACTTTATTAGCCCCTTGGGAAGTGATGAGGTGGTACATCACTGTAAAGAGAGGTATTGCTGGCAGCATTTCCAAATGGACCCATACCAACATATAATAGATGCATCAATACAATTCAAGCCTGTGCCAAGACTCGTCTTAGACTATATTAATAATACCCAACTGACAATACTGCTTTAAAAAAACACCAATCTTTGAAATATTCCTTCAAAGTTAGGGTTACTGTTATAAATCTTACAATAAGGCCTTAATTGATCAGGATGGGAAAACTAACAACACACATATTTAGTAAGTTGTTTGCAAATGCACTGTTTGCTTGCTAGCAACGACATGGGGGAATATACTTACAATAAACATTCACATAAAATGTCCCAGAACTGTAAGAAATGCTGTTTTTTTCTTACAATTTTGATTATTGCAGGCTGCAATTGTAACGATAAAGACAGCCTTATATGCTTAGAGGTGATTTTCAAACTCATTATAGTGATAAAAGGCAGAACCACAACAGATTGGCGCTTCCACCCAAAGCCAAATCTTTTTGACAAGTTTTGTTAGTTTGATTAGAGCCATATGAGAAATGTTACAGCCGACTGCTGAGATTGTTTTAATCATGGCATCAGTTTAAAGATTATTGTCAAAAACATTTCTTAGGATGTGACAGTACAGTCTGATATTAAAACCACTTCTTGGCACAAGAGGATTGACTCTAATCATCACAATTCTTCATAGTTTCCTGAATATGTCGATCTTGTAACGGTCACTAACGTTTATTTATTTTCATAGGCATATTGTGACAGACATGTTGTGACATAGGCATTTTGTGGGGCTATCGTGTCTCATCATAATCATATCTTACAATATTATCCTCACTGAAAAACAAGAGGCGCCACATTTTTTCATTTTACATATCGATAAGAACGTTTTATTTTCATTCTTTTAAATGTACTCCTTAATTCATGTTAACTCAACAACGCTATCACTTAAGTGTATAGTGTCAGTTTGTCTAAAACTTCTTTCAGAATGGCATTTAAAAATCCTAAATTTCACTTGCCTTAACTTTTTAGTAACCATGCAACCAAGTTCCCACTGGGGGTTTGGTTCTGGTAGTCTTTCAGGAGTTATTTAAATGTCCTAAAGGGGCAAAGCGAGCCTGTTCTCGTGCCGTGTCCGCGTGCCTCTAATGGCCTCTGAATGGATATTAAGTCATGTTTTTAATTGGAGCGGTCTCTCTTTTCTTATGCAACACAGGACAAAAACCACACATTTATCTCATCAAGGCCATGCTGTTTTTGCAGGGGCCAATAAACCTTAACCTAGTTTTCATAATTCAATTTGAACTTTTTTCTAAATGCTATTATTCCACTCTCAGGGCCTATTTTCAGTCTCGCCCTGGAAGCCTAAATCAGGAGTTGCGTGTGATTCACTCAACCCTTTTATGTTGTTTTAATACAGCGAGTGAGTCGTAAGATGGGCAATTTTTCTTTCCTTTACGGCTTTTTCGAAGGCTTGAAAGGATTATGGAAGTCATTCAAGGTTTCCAGAAAGGTCTCAAACCCAGCGTTTCCCCGGAGTGTAATTACTCTGCGTAATTGTAAAGTTGACTTGCATGTGCTGCCATGTCGGAATGCTTTTAGCAGTTTCGGTTCAATGTCCGCTCACACTTTTAAGGCCCTGTGTTTTTGCAGCCAGAGCCATAGCGGTAAACAAGATTCAAAGATATTCCAGATTTAGTGATAACTTGTTGTTTCTGGGCAATGTACAGATTGCTATTAAGCCACATGTTTTAAAGTGATGGTAGTTCATGATAATCCTTTTTTCATTGTAATGATTTCCATGACCATTCTCTAGTTTTCCAAAACACTATTATTCCAAACATATACTTCCATGCACTTGGACTCTAGTTCAAAGAGAGGTTCGCTGCGGGGCCCCCTTTTTGGTACAGAGGCCCCGTTTTATGCGGCCCCCTTTTTCTGATTGATATTCCACCGTAGCAATGTTTTGTTGTTCAGATTAATCTTAGTTATGGGGCTTGTATATGGCAACAGATATCATGAGGTCATGCATGAGATTATGCTGATAAAAGGAACATTGGGTCTCTGGTGAGAGATGAGGTCCTGGAAAAAGCATAAAAGAGCATTTGAATCGGGCCAGATAAAACGTTTTGGAGTCGGAATTTTTTGTTCTGTCATTTCAACAGTTTGTCATCTAGTCTATCATTTAGATGTCAGACCCCTCGGTTCGGGGTCTGACATGAAAATCACATGGTGTACAGTGTTCGCAATGGACCAACGTTTATGTGCGTGTGAGCTTGCATTTGATGCGTTTGCAATGTTGGGATATTAATCTGTCATTGAATCAGCTTTACTGTCGTTACATGGAATTTGCTTTGATGTACAATGGTGCATACATAAACAGGAATTCATTTAAATAAAAGGAGCTAATATAATACATGTTTTTACCCTTGAATGGGCATTCATATATTATTATTTTGGAAAACTAATTGATAGCCATTTTCTACCTTTTCTACACCTCTAAAACACCCCAATTACACCCATGTTATTACGGTATTACGCCCATGTTACATCTGTATTACACCTACGTTACACCCTTATTATACCCATCTTACACTGTTATTACACCCATACAAGAATGTTATTAGACCCATATTATACCCATGTAACACCAATATTATACCCAAATGACCTCTTAATTACATTATTAGACCTATATTCCACCCATATTACATTGTAATTACACGGTTATTATTACACCCATTTTACACTTTGAAACAGCATATCTAATGACTGTATCCCCCAGGACACAAACTATTTAAGGTAAAATAAAAAAGACATGAATACATTTTCTCTGAAAAATAAAATATGTTCAGTATCAGAATTTGAGAGTCTTTAAGGAAGTAGCACTGATTACATGTGCAAAATATACAGAAGAATGATCAAGGTTTTAGTGTATGAAAATAGATGTGATGTGCTCACGTGAATGAGGCCTTGTTGATGAGGCCAGTAGCTGACGGTGAATGTGTGTGTCTGTGTTTTCCCAGTGGAGCAGGTTCCCGTGGAGGCCTACACCATCCCACTCTCGCAGGCCGATATCGTACAGGAAGGAAGTGACGTCACCCTGGTTGCCTGGGGGACACAGGTAGGCGTTTCTCTGTGCATCATTGACAGACTCTGTGGGTGAGCAGTTTTTTAAGTAATCGGCTATCTTTGCATCATTTTCCATGGCCTCTGGAAAAAAAGGAGTCCACTCTCATCCCCGCTAAATGACGTTTAAAGCCACTGAGACTACCGACGGATTAACTTTAAGTCCATCAAAAGCCCCCATCCCACTCTGTCCCAGTGGGGTCTCCCAGCCGGCAGTCTGCGGCTGTATCTGCCCAAACATCTACACATCATCAAGGCCGTACTCGGCTCTCCATGTGTTCACGCCGCACGCTTTCCATTGTTGCCTCTCTTTTCATCCGAGGGATTTGATTTCCTGCCGATCCGTATCAAGGTGCCTGGAACTCCCCGGGAGTCATCCTCCGACTTTCATTGCACCCGGGCCACTTAAACCGGCTTATCCAGGCCACAATGTACCTGGAGCACGGGAGGGGGCTTCCGAGGGCATTGAAGGAAAAGTAATCCATCAGAGTATTATTGTTGAAGGAGTGGATAGAGAAAAACGAGGATCCAGTGAAGTAGTGGAAAGCAAAAGGCCACCCTTGTCCCTTCTAACTCATTACTCGCCTCGTCCATCAGAGAGTTAAGAAAACATCTTTCACTGAGTGCAGGGGAAGGATGAGTCCTTAGCTTCTGATCACTCAAACAGAGGACCTTTTTTCCCCTGGACTATCAGTCCCTCCATCTACTATTTCTCCCTCAGGAAGGTCCTCTTTAATCGGCTGGAAACAATGCAACTGCTCCATTTCTCTGTAATAAATGCCCAGAGTTATTACGGTTATTTGTGAGGGTGAAGCCTGGGTGTTGACAACTCTTTTAGTTAGGGTGATTTAGATTGATCACAGCGGTTCTAATTTAAAAGCAGCTCCTAATGCCTGCCAATACACAGACTCCAGCTATTACACAATGATGATTTTATGGGAATAACTTGCAAGCCATGTTTTAAGGTTTAATAGCTGTTTTCAGCATTGTGTTTATTTGGCACTGATCTGCAAAGGCTGTGCTCTTCAGCAAAGAGTACAATAAAATCAATGCTTTATTATCATCAAGTAACTATTATTATTAATGTCAAACTACCAACTAAAAGCAGCAGTCAGTTAAACGTGGCATTTATTTGTCCCTCTACTCTACTGCAGTTTATGTATCAATTATAATACTTATATCTCAAAATGCTTAACCAATCCACCCCTGCATCTTCAGATAATGTGAAAATGTCCATGTTTTTTCTCAATCATCTTAGTTCATTTTTTTATTCAAGCCTGCTACATTGAAAACATAATACACAACACATACAGGACAGAAGTTGATGTAGCAGACGTGCCCATATGGCAAGCCGTTTAAGTATTTAATGCACATCCTTTATATCAGACAGCAGTTTCCTCCACTAGTGGAATTGGCTCTCTGTCAGCACTGGTTGGTCACACTAGTTTGGCATTCTGTCTTACTGGATGAACAAGAATTCTTCAAAAATGTTGCCTTGACTACTAAACATGTGAGCCGCAACTTGCTTCTTCTAAAAGTTAAATTTCCTAACGCCAACAAAGGTAACTAGTGTTCAACAAATAAAACAGGACGAAGACAAAAAAAAAGAGTTGTGATAAGTTGGTATTTTTATTTTGAACTAGAGAGCTAATAGGAAGCCTCAATTCACACTTAGTCCCCTCGTGATCATTAGCATTTAATTCACATAGTTCAAACTTTTAACTGCTTTTAGCTCATTAGATTTAAAGGCTTTCTTCCCTTTTAGATCCATGTGATGAGGGAGGTTGCCAACATGGCCCAAGAGAAACTGGGGGTGTCCTGCGAGGTCATCGATCTGCAGACCATCCTGCCCTGGGACGTTGAGACTGTTTGCAAGGTAAGGGAAACACACAATCACAGCCGCTTTAGCAAAAATGCTTCTGAGGAACCATTCATATATTTTAGTGGTGTTTCTGTCTGGTGCCTTTTTAACCGATATTCTAAAAATATTTTGCATCAAAGTCTGTGTATATCTCTATTTTTATGTTTGGTCGCTGAGTGTGTAGCCATGTTGTGCATTCCCAAGTGATCACTCTACAATAGACAACCATTTGGCATAAATAATGTTTCTGTAGATGTGTTTATTGTGGCGCAGAGACATTATTTCTCTAGACTGTGTGGTTCTCTTTGGTGCCTGATAAACAGGATTCCTTCCGCAGCCAGTAAGACTTCTACAAAGAAGTCCACGGCTCTCACCAAAACAAAATATTTCATTTCGGAAGGATTTTAGATGCTTTCCAGTGGGTATTCCATCTGTGTTTATTTTGAAATAAGGGAAGGAGCACAATGCAAGACAGTTTGGGGAACAGTGGCGTCTCTCCTGGTCACCGTTGGCGACTAGGTCTAGTCAGACGAGTCAGTAGACTAAACCATGTTATGAAACGCTCTTTGGATATGAAAACCAAAAAGTGTCTTGAGAAAAACTTGAACGCTTCATGCTGCTTTCTCAATGGAGCTTGAATATGTCACCCACTAGATATTGTGTCAAGACGGTTGGCTTTAGGCAGCTTAATCACCAGATACATTTTTAACGTTGCACGTTTGTCGTATTTTCATGCTCCTTGGCGAAACAAACGACTTTTGTCTGTGAGCATCATGCTGTCAAGCTAACCTTACAACCAGCAGTTAAAGCGCACGATGAAGTCGCGGTGGAAGGGTAGCAATTTAAGCGGGAGTGAATTGATACTGATGGCAGAGAGCGTAGTATTGTGCTGCCACTGAAGGACACACACATTCAATTGAGCAGTAATCAGTTGCAGATTGTTTGCTCTAAGAGGGGACTCTAAGTGAATGTGTTTTTTTCTTTTTGGCACTCCGCCATTAAAACCCCTGCCATGACATTTGATAGAGTGTTTATGTGCTGCTTAGTGGGCCTAATGCCAGACCTGCCACCTCTGGCTTTTCACCAACATCTCTTCTTGTCATACCCATCAGCCAATTTCCCAACAACCCTGCTACACACCCACACACATATCCTGATATCTGGCAATTAAAGGGGCCCTATTATGCAAATGTTCAGGTTAATATTAGTATTTTGTGCCTCTACATGTCTCCATGCTTTAATGTTCAAAAAGCTCTTTATTTTTCTCATACTGCCTGTGCTGCAGCACCTCTTTTCACCCTCTGTCTGAAACCAGAGCCCAGTCTGTCTGATTGGCTAGCTGTGCGGCTCTGTGATGAATGGTCAACCGCTTAAAGATGTCCCGCCCCTTAGCCATATAAGTAAAGCGCGAGTGATGTGACTATGTTAGGGAAGTAAAAAGGAGGCAGGGGGGAGTGTGTGGGATTAAAACTCCCTCTGGAGAGTCCTTTACGTGCACAAAAACCTATAGAACACACTACAGGAAAGGGAAAACCCAAAAAGCATAATAGGGCCCCTTAAATCACTGTCGATGCATTACATTAATACACTGATATCCCTAAAGCCCTTTTTATCCTGGCGTGTTCTGCTGGCTGAGCACAGAAAGAGCATTTTCCATCAAGCTATTATTAAATCTCAGAGAAGGCACATAATGAATTCAGGACTAAATCATGATTTTATCTCTTCCACTAATGCATAAGAATACACATTAACGGCCTGTATTTTATCTTTTAATTAATCTGGAGCAACAAATATCCAGATGTGCACTAGGCAGAATGAAAACAAAGCTTGCATCCGTCAATGCTAATAAAAGCTGGTGGAATCCACTCGGGTTCGATGCCACAAAGCAGCTAAACAGTATCTTATCCTGTCAATGCATACAATGTGCTTAAGACGTAATGCTCAGATAACCACTGGGGTCCAAAGGTAGGCATGTCTGACATTTTTCTTTTGCAGCTCTTGGCATATATTTCGTTTGTGTTGCTACAACCTCTTGTAGAATGAATCTAAGTTGGTCACAAATGTTTTGGACCAGGATATGTAGGGTTTGTTTGTATGCTTTTTGTTTTCCTGTTAAGCATATGATGGAAGGAGTTGGATCTGAAATGATCAATCCATGAATTGCCTTGCCAATTAACAGAAATGTAATCGTATGGCAACACAGGCACACACACATACCAGAATACGTTGTGTGTCGAAAAATAAATACTATTTAGGCCTCAAAGAAAAAATGCAATTTCCAGAATAAATATTGAATTGGGACAGTATTAATTTTAGGATTTCGTAATGCGGCAACATGATTTAAACCAGGAAAAAGCGTGTCTGATAACTAATCTGTTTGGCTACTACTTGGCCCTTTAACAGTGTTGATAATGGATTTGTTGTGTGGATTATTTTTATTACAACATTTCCAAAAGGGTTCCCAGATCCCTAAATGTGATGGGTTGCAGATTTTGAATAATTATTGTGTTTTGGACTCTTGGTTGTAACAAGCAGTAATGAGCTAACACTTTGGGGTTTAGGACATTGTAAGTGGGATTTTCGGACAATTAATAGTTATTGATTTAAGGGAGATGACGGTAAGTCATTGGCAAATAAAGTTATTGTTAAGTGCAGCCCTCAAATGTTTTCAATCAGCTTTGTTCATACAGTGTAGGTTTGATTTATGCTGTGTACTTTACGTTAACTGTTTGTAGGCAGAAGTCACGTTTGCCTGGGTCATAGTCCTTTGCAGTCATGCTTTGCTAAATGTATAAAAAGAAAACCAGGCGTTTTGAACTCAATAACCCTGCACAGTGGTGCCCTAACTACTGGGCGCTGCACGGATGGTTCTGTGGCCGCAGCTCTGCTGATGCTCAGCTTTGTCACACAGCAACACACCCATGTAGAACTAGTTCAAGTGGAATATCTAGAAACAGCAACATTTTAGGGATATGGGTAATGATTATCTTTATTACAGATGCATCTGTATCTTGTTTTTAAGGATGAATCAAAAAGGTGCAACTGTCCATGCATTTTCTAAGTAAATATATTGGTTGACCTGTTTTCCATTGATTCTATTTCCTCCGTAACATCAACACACACTACATGATAGGGCTGCTCAATTAATCGTATTTGAATCGCAATTACGATTATGGCTTGCAACGATTACGAAAACAACGTAATCAAAATAAAACGATTATCTTTTTATTATTATTATTATTACTTTTTTTTTTTCAAATACATTTTTTTTATTTGGTTTTTCAGTTGAATTATACTTAAAGTTCAGGGTAATCAACTGTTAAAAACATACTGTTCACATTTTTTTTCTCCAATATATTGATGTTTTCAAAGTAGATGGATAATCGTTTTTAATAATCGTGATATCAATTACTGACCAAAATAATCGAGATTATGATTTTTGCCATAATCGAGCAGCCCTACTACATGATCCTTTAGCAAAGCTCTCTAGGTTAATGTGCTAACGAAATATTTGTAGAGCTGACTATCTTTTTTTAAATAGTATTATTACTGTACTTAACTGGGACAGTGCACATTATATAAGTGAACAGAGTTAATTATATGGCCAAGAAGCTATTTTTCATCTGTAGTCCCTGAACAGATGTTGTACATTATTGTCTAGGAGTCAAATAGAATATGAAATAAGCAATATCCAGAAAAAATACTTGGATTTAAGCAAATCATTAATACAAAATATTAGATTTATTTTACTGTCATGGCCCTGCAGCACTACTTTAAAAATCATTGAGGGAAATAAACTGTGGATAGAAAAAGAAAGTGTCTGATGATTGACAAATCTGTTACTCATACCCACCCCTTGTGAATATATGGAAAGCATTTTCTTAATACATAAGCGATTAATTGATTACTTAAATTGTCCAAAATTAATTTGCTGTTGATTGCCTAATGAAGTAAATCCTACAGAGGCTGCTTATGTCAAGACATCAGTCATACATTTACATTTTGTTCTACTTACAGTAGAAAATGGCATAGTGTAAAAACCTCAAAAGTAAATCAATGTTGTGCAGCTTTTTAAAGGCCTTTATCCTCTGAGAAATATTTTTTTGGGACTAGTTCTATTCTTAGCTTAAGATAGGGAGTAGCCATAACATTGAGTCCACTCTTTAATTCAAAAGATGGTTCACCTGGTGTCAGCTTTTCCGGCACTGCACACATCTCTGCTAAGCTGGCCTTTTGCACCGCTTATTAACTGGCCGTCAGATGCGGTGAGTGTGCCTCCGGTAAGATATGCCGCATCCGGCCGCTGGCAGCCAATTAAAATGTCCTGTGACTCACATTCACCTTGCAGATCTTTCAGTCAAGGATGTGTGCACGTGTGTGTGATGTGTACCGAGCTAATTTATATGAAGCAGGCCTCTTTTGAGCATGGATGTTCAGAATGAATGAAAAATATTGTGTCTTTCTTCGTGAGAGATCATTAGGCTAAGACATGCCATCTTTCTGTTATCTGTGGGATCCATTCTGGCAGCCACCATCTATACTTGGATCTAAATATATACAACCCCGCTCATTGAAAAGGAAATCATGGGCAGACACGCTGTTAACGTAGAGAAAAAGTGAGTATATTGTTTTGACCTGCTGTCTAGAGCGGTCCAGAAAATATAATAGTTGTTCTTTATGACAAGAACAAAATGGCAGGTTTACCTTTGCCAGACCAATGGCTCAGATGATATGCTGTGGAAAGTCTCATGGACTGTGTGTGTAGAAATGCAGTTGTGTAAAGATGCTCCCATACCCACATCCTGCATAAGAGCTTCTTAATTCCTCTGTGACCTTTATTGTTGTTCATATGGACACTTGGCCAACATTTTTGTCCGTTTTTCCACGTTTGTATGACTTGGCTTCGAATTTGCTTGTCATAATTATAAAGACATTTCTGCTCTCATTATTGCATTAGTCAATTGCTGCTGATTCAGCCTCAGGTTTTCCAGATTACAGATCCGGCCAGTTAAGCA